GCAGCGGGGCGCCCAGGGCGGCCAAGCCGGTGCTGCACCCCTGGCAGCGGGCACGGAGCGGCGTCGCGACCACACCCAGCGACCGGGGCAGCGGCTAAAGCGCGGGGGGCTGTGGACGAGCAAGTGAGGACGAAAACCGAAGACCAGCGGTAGCACACCCAACGGAGGTCACGAAAGGCACAGTGCGGGGAGACCAGGTAGACAACTGCAGGGCGGGCTGCGCTGGAGCAGGCCGCAGTGGCGGACCGGAGGAGCGTTGGGAAGGCCCCTCGGGGAGGGCGGCATAGCCAGTGGCGGAGGCAAGGTTCCGTCCGCAGCGCGACCCGAAGCTGCGGGACCGGGCAGGGGCGACGGCCACCCGAAGCCAGCCACGAAGGCGAGGGCAGGCGACCGCCACGGCTGGCAGCAGCAGCGAGGGGGGCACACGCATCGCCAGGGCGATGCGGGGAGAACGAGGCAGGGGCGGCGGTGCCAGGCCTATACCTGGCGCACGCAGCGCAGCCGCGGGCAGACGGCGCCCGGCCCAAGCGGGGGCAGGGCGAAGGCTCCCGGCGACGAGGCTGCCAGGAGGTAAACAAGGGAAAACAGCGCCATGGCGCAGGCCCCCAAGCGAAAAAGGCCAGCCAGGCGCCACCCTGCACGCACCGCGGGCCAGTGGGCCCAGGGGCACGGCTGACGGGGCGCGCCGACGTGTTGGCGACGTGTGCGCCTAGTGGTGCCTGGGCGGCGGCGGCGGCTTCCCGGCAGGTGGAGGCAAGCGACGTACCCAAGCGGAGCGCAGAGGAGGCACCGAACAGGTGCACGAGCAGGTGGGCCAGCCGCGGATCCGAACGGAGGCGGGGCTGCAAGGGAGGCCTGCGCTCCACCTGAGATAGGTGATGCGCCCAAGTTTACAAGGAGAGGCGCATCACCAGGGGCAGGTGACGCGCCCCGAGCAAGGAGGGAAAAGGGGCACCTAATTGGTGCGCAAGAAGGTAGAAGTAAAGGACCACATCCGAGGCGGATGGCCCGCGGCGCAAGGGAGGAACCACCTGGGCTCGATGGCGCGCCTGGGGGAAGGAGGGGGGCGCGCCACCTGGGATGGATGGCGCGCCCAGGAGGAAAGCACCTGACTGGCGCACAAGCAGGTGGATCAAATGCAGGCACCTCCTGGGTTGGCAGGCGCCGTGTCATACTCTCAAGGCCCGGCAGGGGATCCGCTTCCGCACCATTGCCAAGGACAGGGAGCGCAGTTGCTCTCGAGCCCGCGCATGCGGGACTGGTCGCCGACGCTCCGAAAGCTTAACTGCTCCAACTTTCGTAGTAAAAGGGAGGGGGTCACAACCCTCCCAGAAGAGCAGTTTTACACCCCCCGCAGACCAGCTATGAAAGGGCGGCCTTCTGCCCAGACGCCACTGGAACCCTCCAAGACAACTCAAATCAGACAGAAAAAAATCAGACCACCACCCTTTCATGGTGAAATCTGGAGTACATCTGCTTATCTGCTCATGTATCTGCGGCGAGCCCAGGGGGGTGAGTGGGAGGGGGCTGGCGTTCTAAGAATGCGGCGGGGCTTCTCAGAGGCCCTCGCGCCTTCTGGAAAGTATTCTTTCGATTTGGAGGAGGCACAGAATACTTCTCAGAAGGCCCGAGGCCTGCCGAGCCTTCTGACAAGGCCCACCCACTCTGCATCGCCCCCTGGGCTCGCTGCCGAATGCACCATTTTTCCCTCGTCGAGGCAAGGGAAAAGGCCCTGAGAGTCCGGCCGGACGAAAGTGTGGGGATAGCAAAGGGGGGGGTCAGCGAATCGGCTCACGCAGCTGATTCCTTGTGGCGCCTCCCGGCGCCGGATGCGGCCATGCACCAGCGTCGGGGGCGCGCAAACATGGATTAGCGATCCATGGATTTGGCGCGCGGTCGCCAAATCCATGGATCGGGGGAGGTGCCCTCCCCAAAATGCGCGGCAGGTGCCGCCTCGCTCGGCGGCGGAAATCCACGATTTCAAACGGAAACAGGACCCGTCGCTAATCCACGCCCCCTCAATCCATGTTTGCAATCGCCAGAAGTGGGGCCGACACTGGCTGCAGGCAAAAGATTTCGCAACCCGCGTTTCCCTATCCGCCCCTCTCGGGGGCGACGAGAGGAGGCGGAGGAGGAGGAGGAGGAGGAGGAGGCGGAGGAGGAGGAGGAGGAGGAGGAGGAGGAGGAGAGGAGGAGGAGGAGGAGGAGGAGGAGGAGGAGGAGCAGGAGGAGGAGGGAGGAGGGAGGAGGGAGGAGGAGGAGGAGGAGGAGGAGGAGGAGGAGCGCCCCTCTCGGGGGCGACGACGGGGGCGAACACGAGCAGCCCAGGGGAGAGCACCACGTGCATCCAAGGGCGCCGACGGTCCATGTCTTCGGCGAAGCTCTCGGGCGAGTACGTGCGATGCCTGCCCCTGGGCTCTTCGCCCCTGTCGCTCGAGTAGGGGATCGACTACAGAATTGGTGTACCCAAAATGTGTTTTTCTCGTCGAGTACGTGGCAAATGCGGAAGAAGTTCGTAGGTCTAGGAAGTTCGTAGGTCTCGTCGAGTACGTGGAAGATGCGGAGGGAGTTCATAGGTTTACGAACGTTATACGCATCTCTCTGTAGATCCGACGTGGAGATCGATCCTGTGGCGATTCAACTCTGCCGTCGGTCCCCTGCTCGAGTCGTCGCCTCCGACCTGGTCGTCCGACCCCGAGAAGAGGGGGACTGGACGCACTGCGACAGAGCCGAAGACGCACGGGGGAGGGGGGGGTGGATGCTCGTTCTGGGGACCTTCCTGGAGCCACTCGCTCCACTCGTGCGTCGAAGCTGCGTCGAACGTCAGTCGATTTGGGTCGACCCTGAGTCGAACCTGAGTCGAACCTGAGTCGAACCTGAGTCGAACCTGAGTTGATTTTGAGTCGAACTTGAGTCGAACTTCAGTCGAACTGGGGTCGAACAGATCCGTTAGGTGGGCTCCAGGAAGGTTCCCGAAACGAGCATCGAAGGGGGGGGCGCCCGTGACGTTGTGGGGGGGGGAGCGGGGGCGGGCGGGGGAGAGCGGCAGAACGCGCGTTACGGCCCGGAGGATGAGAATTATAAAAACAAAAAAAGGGGTCGTGGTTTTCGTTCTCGTCTTGCTTCTGTTTTCCCTTTCGTTGTGTATTTCAATCCGCCTGTGCTGCAAAACGGAATCGAAGAGAGAACGACCCACTAAATCGCCAGAGGACCCGTTTAGGTCGACCCCTGGTACTTTACAATGCTTTACTGTAAAAGATCAGCCAGCGTTGTCTCCTAATAGATGGGAGGACAGGAGGAGGACAAGAGGAGGATGGGAAGAGGACGAAAGGAGGACGGGAGCAGGACGGAAGGAGGACGGGAGGAGCACAATCAAGCAAGCAGAAGCAATCAAGCGCCAGCAAGCAAGCGCAAGCAAGCAAGAGCCAGCGATCAAGTGCAAGCAAGCAAGGGCTAGCAAAAGCAAGCAAGCGAAAGCTGGTGCATAGGCATAGGCATAGGCAAAGACATAGGCAAAGGCATAGGCATAGGCGTAGGCATAGGAGTTAGTGGGGAAGCATAGGCATAGGCATGGCCATAGGAATCAGGGGGGCATAGGAATTGGGGGGGCAACGGACCCATTAGGAAGGTTTTAGCTAGGACTCCTATAGGGCAAGCCTAGTTGGAGCAATAACACAGCACAACAACAGCATAAAACACAACAGCCACAACAACAACAACAACAAGTACTAGCACGTGGGGACACTCCGTTCTCACCAGTGCCAGGGTTTTCATAGGAGGCGGGCAATACCCCCACTTTGTGGGGGGGCCGGTTCAAGCTCTACCAAATTTCCAAACGACTCTTCGCCACCACCCACACCCAGCTTCCCGCCCTATGACGTTCGGACACTTCACTTCGTGGCATGCGGACGACCGTGGCTACTATTCAGGGCCCCGCGGCCGACGACGACGGCGTGCGCGCGCGAAGAAAAAACGAATGTGTCCCGCATGGTATTATTTGACAGGGATGATGGCCCTGGCAGGTGCGCAACCGTTGTTGCAGAAGTTCGAAAAAGTTGCTCGCAAAAGCCCGTTTGACAGAAATGTTTAAAAAGTGTTGGGTTTCCTACGAATCCGCAAGAGCGCGCGGGATGAGATTTTGACAATTTTTTTGTTGAAAAACCATTGGTTTTTTGATGTTTTTATGTTAAAATCGCTACGAACACTAAGGTTTTGGAAGGATTTCGTCTTGCGCGCGCGAATGTCCACTTTACCTTATGTTTTGCAAGGGATTCTTGAAGTTTGGTTATGTTAGAACAAGAAATGTCCACTTTAGCTTATTTTTTGCAAGGGAAAGCGGGCCGTAACAAAACAACCGGATCCGGACCAACCCGTTTTGCCTGAGACTTCCTCACGAAAATTATGAAAATGTGGCTGCGGCCTAGGCGCGGCGGGGGGGCCATGCACCAGGGGTCCCAACAATAATTATTCTTTAGAAGTAATAATGTTCAACAACAACAACAACAGCAACAGCAACAGCAATAACAGCAACAACAACAACAACAATAACAAGAACAATAACAACAACAACAACAACAACAACAACAACAACAACAACAACAACCACATCAACAACAACAACAACAACAACAACAACAACAGCAACAACAACAACAGCAACAGCAACAGCAACAACAACAACATCATCATCAGCATCAGCATCAGCATCATCATCAACATCAACATCAACCTCAACCTCAACAACAACCACATCAACAACAACAACAACAACAACAACAGCAACAACAACAACAGCAACAGCAACAGCAACAACAACAACAACATCATCAGCATCAGCATCAGCATCATCATCAACATCAACATCAACCTCAACCTCAACAACAACAACAACAACAACAACAACGACAACAACAACAACAACAACGACAACAACAACAACAAAGACAACAACAAAACAGCGGGAGACAGAAAACGTACTCACGAGAGGCGGGGCCCGCGGCCTCCACGAGGCCGAAGTACGCCATCTTGTGCCCGCGGCTCCTCGAGCTGTTGGCGCTGGTCTCGGGCGCCCCGGGGGGGCCAGGGGCGGGGGCAGGAGCGAGGGCAGGGGGGGGGGGTCGCCACATGGGAGGCCCCGCAGGGGATCCCTCCTCCTCCACCCTCCACCCTCCTTCCTCCTGCCCCTCCTGCTCCTCCTCCGCCATCCTTCCTCCTGCTCCCCCTGCTCCTCCTCCTCAACCTCCTCCTCCTCCCTTCTTCCTCCTCTTCCTCCTCCTGCTCCTCATCCTCTTCCTCCTCCTCCTCCTCCTACTCCTCCTGCTCCTCCTGCTCCTCCTCCTCCTCCTCCTCCTCCTCCTCCTCCTCCTCCTCCTGCTCCTCCTCCTCCTCCTCCTCTTATTATTATTAATATTCTAAGTAGTACCATTATTCTTCGTATTATCAATATTCATAGCATTAGTATGGTTGTTGTGATTATTAGCAGTAGTAGTATCATTCGTGCTCGTCTTATTATGACTGATGTTATTAGTGCTAGTTGTATCACCATCGTTATGATTAACAATCATACGACTAGTATCATTAGTCTTATTCGTGTGAATAGTTTCGTCGTAGTCTGTGTAGTCTTCGTATTAGTAGTATTAGTAGTCAGGCTCGTCTCCTTCTCATTCTGAATAGTATGATGTATATGCTTATTATTCTTACTAAGATGAGTATTAGCATTATGATGATGTCTGTGCTTGTATTATTCTTCGTAGCATTCATAATATTACTGTGTGTCGTAGTAAGTTGTATCGTAGCATTCGACATATTATTATACTTAGTACGCATGTTGGTATTATTCGTAATCGTTTTCGTCTTAGCCTTATACTAATATTATCAGCATTACGCTTAGTAGTATTAGTAGTATGCTTATTATACTTCGTATTACTTATCATGATTATCCTCATCCTTTTCCTCCTCCTCCTCCTCCTCCTCCATCCTCCTTCTGCATCCTCCTCCTGCATCCTCCTCCATCCTTCTCCTCCATCCTCCTCCATCCTCCCTCCTCCTTCCTCCCTCCTCCTCCATCCCACCCCTACTCCTCGATACCCCCCTCGCGTCCCGCCCGACTCTCAGGGCCTCTCGGGGCCCGACTCTCAGGACTCGCTTCCTCATCCTCATCCTCCTCCTCCTCATCCCCATCCTCGGCCCTCCACCCCATCCCCATCCTCCTCCTCCTCCTCCTCCTCCTCCTCCTCCTCCTCTCCTCCTCCTCCTCATCCCTCATCCCCATCCTCATCCCCATCCTCTTCCTCCCCCTCCTCCTCCTCCTCCCCATCCCCCTCCCTCTCCTCCCCTTCCTCGATCCTCGACCCTCGACCCTCGACCCTCGACGCCCGACTGGGTAGGGGCGCTCAGCCCTGCTCCTGCGGCGGCGCGCGGGGGGGCAGCACGCCTCCCGCCCACAGCTCTGCGCCTCGCCTCCGGCTCGGCATCGGGCCTCAGGGAACGTACAGTCGGGGCGTTGACCTAAGGAACCCCAAATAAGGAGCGAGGCCCCATTTTTCCAGAAAGTCAAGGAGTCTCAACTACAGCCTCGAGGCTGAGCCTCAGCCTCTGGGGGGGTTGCCGGGGTGGCTCTGCCGGGGGAGGGGGGATGGGGGGGGGGGGTGCGAGTTTCCGGCGGATGCGGGGCGCTGCTTTTACAGAAGGCTCTAATCTCGAGGATGCGCTGGAAGGGTGGCCGCGGCCGCAAAAGTCCCTGAGGACGGTCTACGAAAGTCCCGAGACCCCGAAGGATCGCCCGAACACGCCCAAGATGGCCCCAAGACGGCCCAAGAGCCTTCCACGACGTCTGAAGAGGCCTCCAAGAGGCCTCCCACGATGGCCCCCAGAGGCAAAAATGGTTGATTCCCATTGGTTTTTTCAATGTTTTTGGGGTTGTCGTTTTTTTCTGCTTTCCTACGCTCCAAGACGGCCCAAGAGGCCCCCAAGACCGCTCGAAGACGGCCCAGGAGGCCCCCAGACAGTCCCAAGATGGCCCAAGAGGGCCCCAAGGCGGCCCAAGAGCCGCCCAAGACGGCCCAACAGGCCCCCAAGATGGCCCCAAGAGGACCCAAAAGAGGGACGAAAAGCGGAAAAAATCTAGCCTTCCAGCCCACGAGGCCCCCAGGAGGCCCCAAGAGCCTCCAAGAGGGCCTCCGAAAGCCCCCAAGAAGCCCCCACGACGCCCAGACAGGCTCCTAAGATGGCTCAAAAAACGCCCAAGAGGGCGTCCTTGCGCCGATAGGCTCGCCTCCACCGCTCGCACCACATCGTCCAGGCCACATGTTTCGTAACACGACTCCGTGCACGACGTATCGTGAGTTTCCAAAGTGATCGGCATCCTGTATGGAATTTTCATGTCATTATTATTTCCCGTCCCCACGGTCACTGCAAGCACCCCGCCGTTGATAGAACCACTGTTGCGAGATGGCTCTATTGACCCAACTGCATTCCTACGCCCTTTCGAAGGTAACCCGAGAAGTTTGTGCGTTTGAGTGTGCGCCCATAATGTCTGCGTCTGGAGAATAACACCGAGCGACCCGGATCGGCGGCACTGGCCGAAGGCCACTACAATAAGGAACAAGGCCCAATTTTTCCATAAAGTTACCTCCGATTTCCTGTCGAAAACATAAGGAAAACCTGAGGCAAGCTGTGAAACACCTAAGGAACGCGGAGCCCCTCCCCAACGAAAAGGGTTCCTTCTTCAGGGCCCCGATTGTAAGCCACGAGGGTTCCAGTCCCCACGGAGCCATCCGAGCAGGGTGATGGCAGTTGGAGCCCGCTTCGACGCGTCCACTGTGCAGGCCCACATCTGAGAGCCGTTCGACACGTGGCAAGCGGGGCACATTCGCCTCCTGCTTTCTCACCTCACCGATGGCTTCCATTCAGGAATGGCAGATGACCTAAATGCCGTCGCCAGAGAGCTCCGCAATGAAGCCGATGCACCGACTAGGTGACTGAGAAGCATTTCCCGAGCAAAATCGATCCGAGAGGGTCCCGGGGCCCGAAACATGACGAAGACGCTCGGCTCGGAGAAATTGAGAGGCTAGGATCTCAGTGGACATGACGTGCTTGGGGAGATACGCCAGGAGCAAAAACGTCACGGAGCTTGTGCGGCGCCGCCTCATCCACGACTTCTGTGGCAACTCATGGAAGCCTCCCATGTCATCTTGCTGGTTCTTGCGAATCGACGCTGACCGACGCTGATCGGCACTAATCGACACTAAATCGACGCTAAATCGGCACTAAGTCGACGCTAAGCCGACGCTTTCACATCGATTACCATATGATAGCGCACGCGAATGGACTCTAGAGACGGAATTGCAAGGACTGACGGTTGGCGTCGCAAAGGTAGCGTGCAACACCGATCTCCGAAAGGACGCTATCACCCAAACTGGAAGATTCGAACACAAGTTCAATGTTGAGCATATCTTATCTGACACCTGTGGAGGATAAGATACAAATCGGTTGGGTGATAGCGTGCCACGTCGCTTCCTCTGTGGCACACTATCCCCAGAGTGGGGGGTAGCGTGCAATAAGCGGGCCAGTGGTGCCACATCGTACGCTTTCCTTGCGACGCCAGCCGCACAAGGCTCCCATGAATGGCTACCGAACACGGCCGATCCGGGGGGAGGGAGAAGTGAGGAGCAGGAGGGAGGAGGGAGGAGGGAGGAGGGAGGAGGGAGAGAGGAGGAAGGAGGGAAGGCAAGAGGAGGGAGGAGGGAGGAGGGGAGGAGGGAGGACGAGGAGGGAGGAGGGAGGAGGGAGGAGGAGGAGGAAGGAGGAGGAGAAGGAGGAGGACGAGGACCAAGAGGGGAAGAGGGAGAGGGGAGGGAGACAAGCTAGGTGCGCTCGCGTCATATCTGACATCCTACCCCTCCCTCCCATCCCTTACCATGGCGTAGATCCCCTCTCTACTCGCACAGACGGATGTCGAGCAGGGCAATGATCCCGAAAGGGTACGCGATGCATTGTAGAGCACGGCATGGCATGGCGTAGAAGAGCACCGCAAAGCGTAGTATCAACCTATCATTGCATTGCATGCCGTGGCATGGCACGGGAAATGACGCCAGCGCTGCAGCGGGAGCACGAGTCGAAACGAGCGGAAGCGCGGAAATGAGGCCAGCGCTGCAGCGGGAGCACGATTCGGAACGAGCGGAAGCACGGAAATGAGGCCAGCGCTGCAGCGGGAGCACGATTCGGAACGAGCGGGGCCCGAAAATGAGGCCGGCGCCTCAGCGAGAGCAGCATTTTGACAAAAAAATGCAAGCGAAAACCCAACTCCGGGGAACCTGTGTAAAAAAACAGTACGCGGGGGGGGGTCGGACACTTTCAAGCCGTCATCAAGGGAAGAGGGAGAGTAGTATTCATATTGAGTAATTGTAGAAGGGGGAGGAAGGCGGGGGGGCGGAGGGGCAGGAGGACGTGGAGAAGGGGGGGAGGGGGGGCGCTGAGCCTGCAGCTCATTGCAGAGAGCGGGTCTGGGAAACCCCCGCGAGCAAGGCAAGTAACGCACCCTGCCGCCCTGGGCCGACTACAGTCCTCTTGCTACCCTGCGGAACGCGGACTAAGGAACGAGGCCACGAGCAAGTCTCCCAACCTAAATCCACAGTCAATACGCACAACAAGGGCGCGCGGTAAGGATGCCGTGTCATTGGAGGCCATGCTGAAGATGTTCGATGGGGGCTGGCCAACGAACGAAAGCTGCGAAGATGGGCCGAAGGGGCAAGAGTCCAAGGCCAACCTTGGAAAAAATGTGTATCCTTACGATGCGGCTTGTCCGTAAGGGATGGCCCCGAAAACCGGAGCCCCCGCCTGAGCCCGAAGGCAACGCGTCCCCTCGGAGGTGCAGCATCGACGGATTCCGCACACCAGTCGCTACGACACAGCGACCATACATCCCCCCCCCCCGTGTTATGCCGAGGCTAGATCCCCCCTACTCACCTAACCCTGGCCCCATTCGGCCTTCTGACGATGGCGGCCCACCCGTGCCCCAGAAGGAACGAGGGGCTTTGGCATGCCACGGCGAGCAACGGTCACCAGTACATTCCCAGGAGACGGCCCGAAAACTCGTGAGCCCAAAGTGGTCCGCAGTCCAGCGTCTTGACTGTGATGAGACAGCCGGCCCTCTTCCCGAAAGAGGGGGCTACGGTCTGCGAAATGCTTACGAAATCATGGGTTTAGAAATTCATAGTCTCAGAACTTGAGTAGAAGCCCCGAATTTCCATCGAAGTCGTAGGATTTACATGAAAACATTAAGAATAATCGAGACTCTGGACGAAAACTTGGGTTTTCTTAAGCATCGCCTGGGGTGTACGGTCAGGATGCGTTGCATCGCGCTTCGCGGCGGCCACCGGCGACACGCCATGCCCTGCGAGCAGGTGGCGCGTCGCTCCGCCCCGCAGAGAGAGGGAGACTGGGAGCAGCTCGGGCTGCTGGCGCTGACGCGCGGCAGCGGGGCGGGTCAGAAGCAGCGGAGCGACACGCTGCCCAGAAGCTCCACAACCGCAGGGCCATGGGCGGGGGGGAGGCTGGAGCGCAGGAAGAAGGGCGCGGAGAGAGGGAAAGGGGTGGCGTGGAGGAGGCCCATGGAGAGGGACGGGGCGGGGCGAGGGCGGAGCCAGTCCACCCCTTCCTCTTCCACGGCCTCCTCCTCCATCACCTCCTCTGGCTCCTCGTCCTCCTTCTCCTCCTCCTCCTCCTCCTCCTTCTCCTCCTTCTCCTCCTCCGCCTCCGCCTCCGCCTCCGCCTCATCCACCTCCTCCTCCCCCTCCTAATATTCCATATTTTCGTATCATGGGTAGTAGTCGCCTCCCTCTTCGCATTAGCATCGTCAGTCGCATCATGGTGGCGACTGTTATGATGAGTACTAGTACGCGAAGGATTGATAACAGTATTACCCCCAACGTGTTATTACAACGAAGTAGTTGGATTACTAGAAATAGTAGTACTATGACTGCCCCTGGTGTTACTACTAGTAGTAGTAGTAGTAGTAGTAGTAGTAGTAGTAGTAGTAGTAGTAGTAGTAGTAGTAGTAGTAGTAGTAGTAGTAGTAGTAGTAGTAGTGGTAGTAGTAGTAGTAGTAGTAGTAGTAGTAGTATAGATATCATATTACAGTAAGTATTAGTAGTGTTGTATGGTAATGGTAGTAGTAGTAGCTGTAGGAGTATCAGTAATAGTAGCAGTACTATTAGTACGTAGTAGTATAGTAGTATAGTCAGTGTGTAAGTAGTAGTATTGTGACCATTCTTAGTAGTAGTAAGTAAGTCTTAAGTAGTAGTAGTAGTAGTAGTAGTAAAGTAGTAGTAGTAGTAGTAGTAGTCAGGTAGTATCTAGTATAGTAGTAGTCATTATAAGTAGTAGTAGGTTTTTTTAAAAAAAAAAAGTAGTATTGGTAGTAGTAGTAGCCGTAGTAGTAGTCGCCGTAGTAGTCGCAGTCGTAGCAGTAGTAGTCGGAGTAGCAGTAGTAGTAGTAGTAGTAGTAGTAGTAGTAGTAGTAGTAGTAGTAGTTATAGCATTGACAGCTACCACGAATAGTAATAATATTACTACGACGACTACCACCGTGAATGCTAGTACTAGTAGTAATACTGCGTGTACTGATACGACTGATGTGATTATACGTACAAGTAATGGTACCGCTATTACGACTGGTGTAACGTATAATAGTGTGGTATAAGTGTCATGTTAGTACTCGTAGTAGCCATACTAGCAGTAGCGATGTTACTGAATTACTCATAAAATTAGCGGTAGAAATGGAGGTGGCATTTACATTACGGGTAATAACGTTATTAATAGTGCACAACGGATGGTAACATTATTGTTTGTAGTAGTTAAACTATGTGTAGCATTCGTATTACTAGCGTACGAGCAATAGTAGTATCAGTATGTGTCAGTGGCTTTCGTAGTACTGCTGTAATATTAATTTGGTTAACGACAGTGAAAGCAGTAGTGTTATTGGTATGATTCGTACTACTTCTAAGACTGTTAATAGCAGTATTCGGGCCATTCGAAAAAAACAGCAGTCGCGCTACTGAATTGACTTGAAAAATACTAAACTGATTCCCCACCCCCCTGTGGTGGGTACTCGTTTTGAATAGCGCAGTGTGACAGTGTGGTCGCCCCGTCCTTCTTCTCCTCCTCCCCTCGTCTCCCCTCATCCTCTCCTGCTTCCTGTGGTCCCCTCTCCTCGTCTCTCGTGCCGTCGGGGTGCGATCTGCGAAACTGTCGCCATTTTCGTGGGCTCCTGGGAGGCCCAACGGAGGTACGTCCAACGCGGACCA